TGGAGGGACAAGTCCGGCCCCTCGTTGAATTACGTATTATATTCTGGTGAGAGGGCCAAGAAATCCCGCCAAAAACCTGCCCGCACGTTAACTTACGTATTATATCCTGGTGAGAGTTCGGTAAGTACAATCGTCTTATTGCGACACGTGGACGTTCTTACGATACGTGGACGCTTCTCAGGCCTTCGGGAGTCGACAAAGTCCTGACCGGGCGGCAGACTGCACCCTATAAATTCCGAATTTCGAGTCGCAAATCTTCATTTCCAGCTTCCATACCCTCACAACAAGCAGCAGGCCGCCTACTCCGGACTCCGGGCCTAGTGACGCGCCGACCAGCGCAGACTTGCGAGCAAAAGCCCGATTCTAAATACAGCGACAGTGTGCTCAGGGCCATAGCTTTCAATAGAAGCCGGCTCGCCCGCCCAAGCAGCAACCAACCCAACCATGGCGACCAGTCTAGACCGCAACTTGGGCTCGGACTCGGAGTCATTGGAAGCAATTGTAGACCGGAACATCGAGTCAGAGCCAGATAGCGCATCAGAGGCGAATGATGGCGAAAGCTTGGAGGGGGTCGAGTACGACAGGTCGGTGGATGGCAGCGACTCTGCTACCTCTCTTGCGGACTTCCGACCTCGATGACGGTGACTCAGACGATTGTTGGCAGTCCACAATGTTCTACGCTGCGCTTGACAATGCAAGGGATGAACAGGTCAGTCTAAACATTTTTTCCAGCATATTCTTGTTGAATTGTAGTAGCTCAGCACTGATTGAAAGCATCGTGCAACTGACCGCGCATGGCACATGCTCAACAGTGACAGAATATATCCTTTGTTGGCAGCATTCTGCCGCCGCTGCATCCGGCCCGATACATTGTGTTGACCGCACACGACAACGGAGGAATTGCCCCGCGCAGTCAATCGATTGAATCACGTGATTATCTTGCAAATTGTTTTCAAATTGCTGTCGCCTTTCATGTGAAAGCTAGGCATCAACAGTCCGAGATACTTCAGCAATGCAATCAGTTGGACCTTGTTTTTAAGTTGCCTTGAAGCGAACATCGATCCCGCCTTTAGCCACGCAGATTTTGATCCACTTGTCGACTTGTGCAGATTGACGCGGCCGAATTGCTTGAAGGCCAGACGAATTTTTGCGTCCCGCAACGATGACGAGGGCAGCGACACTGCAGAGCTTGCACAAAAGAAAACAGCGCGCAAAACTGAGGGAACCCTACGGAAAGCTGCCGATCTTGATGCTGATGCAGAGGTAGGCTCAGCACCAGGGACGCAAAAAATGCCGACTTCTCTGACTATCCTTCGTAGACAATCGCAGGAATGCAGATTGCTCGCTGCACAGCAGACACAAGGCCATTTTGTACTGATCCTCATCATGTACCACTAAGGATGCGCCGAGTTCTACACTCTGAGAGTTCAGACGAAACAGCTTGAGAAAATTCTTGTCAAACGTACTAACTGTGACAGAGTCAGGTCCTTACTTACTCAGTTCCTCATGCTGGTTTATTGTTCCAAACTGGCCAGCATCTTTCCGTGCAGCAAACCACAGCATTTCACCAATGATCAAGTGTGACGCTTTGCCTATCTTGCCGCTTATCAATGTATGTCGGAAGAAAGCAGATGCCAGGAGATGTCGAGCTTGCATCTCAATGTCTGAAACCGATTCGGTGCAAAGATATCTAAATATCATTCGTGACGTCGATTCACTGGCACATATCTAAAGCTTGTGCGCTTCTCTTTTCTTGATGTAGCCTTCCACGTTGCTGCCCGACAAGACGGCAGCTGCCCCTGCAAATCCTTCCAATCACGAGAACCCCACCTCAAGTGTCCCCAGCAGCGAGCAACCCATTCGACCTCTCCCTCCCAACAGCACGATTGTCCATAGTGAGACCGTTGAGAACGGCACCGTTCAGACCGTCCGCCAGATGATGCTGGGCACCTTTTTTTTCTCAAAGATGTCCAGCATCTCCGGGCTTAGCTGCAAAGACTCCAAGAACGGGCCACAGGGGTTCAGCAAGCGCTTTGCTGCTCTGCTGGATCACAAGGTTGAGATCCGTCACCTGTCTGAGGGTAGAGGGTACAGGAGTTTCGGCTCCTACCCGGATTGGCCCACGGCAATTGAATATTTTCGGACGCAGCCTCATGGAGAGGAAGTTTTGGTAGAGGGGAGGCCGTGCAAACCATACCTGGACATGGACGGAGATGGCGGTCTGCCGGAGGGAGAGACTCTGGAAAGCGTCATTGCACAATTTCAGGACGCAATTATGCGGGTGTTTGCGGAGGACTACGACGTGAAGCTTGTCGAGGGGGCCTTCAACTGGGTTCCCTGCGACTACGGCCCGGGCGGCAAGTTCAGCTTGCATCTCATCATTTCGACGCACACCCCGCAGCTGGTCTTCCGCTCAAATCTTGCACACACAGTGGATCCGCAAGGAGCAGGGCAGCTCGCACGCAGGCTTGCTGAAGTCCTCCCGCCACACTTGGCGGAGCTGATTGACCAGGGTGTGTACACCCAGAATTGGGGCATCAGATTGCCTTGGTGTTCCAAACCATCCGCCCCTCAGTGTCCGTTGCTGCCTCTGGACCCGCACAAACCTATTGCCGACTCAGTCATCACTTGGCTGGACGATGTAAGATTATCAAGAGTCTTCATGGAACAACACCGACGACAACTTAACACGCATGACTGAATTGTAGCACATTACGGCTGTTGTCTACCGGGCTGCTTTGTCGTTTACAGATCCTGTCCAGATTCTGCACGCTTTGTATAAGCCTTGATTCTGCAAAAGCTAGACAAGGGCCGTGCGGTTCGCTTCCGGCACCAGGGGTGTCCAGGTTCTGCACGTTTTGTATATGCCTTCAATCTGCAAAACCTGAACACATTAGGGTACGATCGTCCCTCGAGGTGTCCAGATTCTGCGCGTTTGTATATGCCTTCAATCTGCAAAACCTGGACAGGGTTGGCATCCGATGCCAGAGTGTCAGGTTCTGCAAAGCTAGACACGTCAGTGTACGAGCGTCCTCTGCACTAGAGTTGTCCAGGTTCTGCACGATTCGCACTGGAGCTGTCCACATCCTGCGCGATTTGTGTATGCCTTTGATCTGCAAAACCTGGACTAAATCTGCATCCGGTGCCAGAGCGTCCAGCTTCTGCAAAAGCTAGACACGTCAGCTCCGCACTAAAGGTGTCCTTCGCACTGGAGCTGTCCAGGTTCTGTATGTTTGTATATGCCTTCAATCTGCAAAACCTGGACGAGATCGGCATCCAGTGCCAGAGTGTCCAGGTTCTGTACGTCTTGTATATGCCTATGACTCCGCAAAATCTAGACAAGCCATGTGGTCACAGAGCAATCCCAGCCAGGGTTTCTAATGCTATATACGGTTTTGCAGCAGGTTGTTTTCATCCGGGTTCCAATCATTGCGCCCGACGCTGTCAAGGAGTGCAGACTTCTCAAAAAGTCAGCGGACATGGCCTACCTCAATCCCCACTTTGCCAACGCATACAACACCCAGCGCTGCCTCAAGCTTTTGCAAGGTCTGCACCCGACCGCTTTCAAGCGAGGCTTGAGCAACCAGCTCAATTTCAGCTGGACGGATCGGGATGGTGAGCCATGCTATGCGGGGCACATACATTCCGGGCAGCGCGACATCCTTTGCATCGTGAACGAGCAAGAAAACGCGGTCTTTGCCAAGTGCTCGAGCGAGAGAGTCGACCCCGCAACCGGGCTGACGTGCAAAGAACAGGCTGCCCACTACTTAGGGCTCCTGTACGCGGATGCGGAAACTTGGAAAGCGGGAGCCGTGGAAATCAACATGCGATATCTGAGCAGGGATCCTCTAGTCGCGGGTCCAACGGACCTGCACTTGATCCAAGCTGGGGTCAAGCAAATGACGAACACCATTGTCTTCAACAGCCAGGTCAACAAGTAAGTGGCGGTGTTTGGCTTACGTCTCTCTTCGAAGTTCTTGAGACCAAGTAAAGCCTGTTACACTTTCGAATCGAGCATGCTGGAAGCAAACGACTTAAATTCAGCGAGTTAATGTCATGATTTTTTGTTGTCACCTCATTTGGTTCAATATCCGGATATGCTAGAAATCTGCAGAACATAGACAAAGCTGATCGCCTAAATTTTTCCGAGCTTCCAAGGTCTGTTTCGATTGCAAAGCAGATTGCATAACAGCTTGCCCCTCGTGCATCTTCTAAAGCTTGTGTTGCGGTTCAACGTATCGATGCAATGCAATCACTGAGACGCAATGCATATCATAGCTCTTCAGCTCCGTCTGGCTTTTGCATACATTCATATGTATTAACTACTCTTGCAGAACATAGACAAAGTGTCACATTCCCAAAAGCTTGGACTCTTTCTTGGATCTTCTGCGGACATTTCGTTTTTGCAGGTTTCAAGGTGGAGACTTCCAAGCTCTACTCATCCGCAGCCCCATGGACACCGGCAAATCCACCATGGTCAGGCAGCTTTCCTCCGAGGAGCCCAGGCCGAAGACAAAGCTTATGGTGACATACCGGCAGACTCAAGCAAGCGACGCTCAGAGGAAGAATCCGGAGTACTCCCACTAGTTACAACGATCTGAAGAGCACGCCGGGCCGCTTCAACGAGCAGGGGCATTTCGTGGAGGCTCTTACGGACCGCAAACGCCATCCGGACGTCATCTGCCAGTTCGACAGCTTGCCGGGCCTCGTTGCAGCGGGGAGGTTTTTCGAGCCTTTCGATCTGGTCATTTTCGATGAGATCGAGTCCATTCTCTTCCACCTGTCTGCTTCGACCTTTCGAAACACTGGCAGGCACTCTACTGTCAATCTGCTGGTGGAGATTTTGCTGCGAGCAACGAAAGTCATTGCGCTCGATGGTCATCTGGGCCAACGGACCTTCGACTTTTTCACGATGAACGGGATCAAGTGCGGACCTGTAGTGATCAACGGATCTCTCCCGCAAAGGCCGCTGGAATTTGTGTTCGTCAACAGGAAGGAAGGGCATGAGTATTGGCAGAATACGTTGCTCGAATCGCTACGGAAAGGAAAGAACTGCATCGTGTACTCGATGTCCTCGAACGAGGTCGATTTGTTGGAGAGAGTCGTGCTGTCCGGAAGGTGCTGTCCGGGGCCGAAATCTTAAGAATCACGCGGGACTCATGCGGTCCGGTGAAGAAGGGTCTCGAGCAGGTGAACGAGCAATGGACGAAGCGCCTAGTCATGCTGAGCCCTACCGTCGAGCCTGCGGTCGACTTCAACAGACCCTGGTTTGCCCGGGCATTCATCTACATATGCAAGGGAAGCACTACGCCAAGGGGTCTGGACCAAATGAAGAGCCGCGTCCGCAAGCTCGGAAACCCCTCAGTCCTGTGCTTTGTGCAGCAAGGTATTACTCTGCCTGTGGAGGAGGCCCCCTCCAGGTGCACAGTGACAACCAACGGCCAGGACTCCGCAGGTACGGTTCCAACCAGATCTTAGATGTTACTGAAGCCTATTGAATATTGTTTGCAGCCCAGTGTCTAATTATTTTCGGATGGCTAACACTTGCTGGATACTTTTTGCAACGTGAATGGTAGATCTCGCAAGTCTATACTGCCTCCATTGCGATCTGAGCCTTTCAACAAAAACGATCATCTCGAATCCTTTCGAAAGGTCGAAGACCCAGTATACTTAACACAATATCGAATTTCCAAGCTTCATTCACCTCTAATCCGATTGCATTGTCACAGGAGCACCCATGGCCAACACTAGAGCATGCAGCGGAGTGGACACTGCTAGCATTGCAAGCTTTGTTTCGGCTTCCATGGGAAAGTCTGCCAAAAAGGTATTTTGTATTGTAGCCAATGAGCTTATTAGAGAACGAACAGGGATGCTTGCTCGTTCCAGTGCACTAGAGGTGTCCAGGTTTTGCAATTTTGTATAGCCTTGTTTCTGCAAAAGCTGGACAAGTCATGTGAGGTTGGCATCCGGTGCCAGAGCTGTCCACGAATTGCAACAATCATATATGCCTTGATTCTGCAAAAGCTGGACAAGCCACGTGATGTTGGCATTCGGCACCAGAGCTGTCCACGTTCTGCAAAAACTGGACGTTGGCATACGACGCGAGAGCTGTCCACGTTCTGCACAATCATATATGCATTGATTCTGCAAAAGCTGGACGTTGGCATCCGGCACCAGGTCTCTGCTTATGCATTTGATCTTGCAGAACCTAGACAAGCTCTGTGTTGAGTATGCCTTTTTATTTGCAAAACGTAAACAACAAATCATTGTGTTGGAGTTAAATCTTACCCCGGGCAATGCACCGTGCAGATGAGGCCGACCAACAACGAATTTCTTGCCCTTGCTCCATTGTGACGCAACCTGTTGACGGTCATGCTGACAGCACCGTCGTACAGACAACGGGCTTCACTGAGACAACTGGAGGCTCAGGTGACTCAACGAGGATGCTTTTTTTACTAGCAAAATCTAGCCCTAAATGAACGACACCCGTCTGTCCACATTTTGCACAATTATATATGCCTTAATTCTGCAAAAGCTGGACAAGCCCCGTGTGGTCTTGCATCCGCTTTTGAACTCGAGCTCGAGCTGCCCGGATTTCGCTCCGAGACTAATCGCCTGGCTTCTGCGGGCTTTGGATACATGCATAGTGAGACTTCTAGGGGTCTGAGAACGATGTCTCGAGCTGCGTCCTCTTAGTGCTTCAATTGAGCCATGACCTTGATCATACGTTTTCTACAGAGACTCCTGAGCCCCCTTTCAAGTTTCTGACTGGTATGGGACACAAGCGGGTAACCAGCACTCGACGGAAAAGCGTAGAGGAGGTCTACCAATTCAATCGTTGGGCCAGCGACGAGGCAGGGCGTTGTATTCCCGAGTCACGCAGAGGGGAGAGGGGGGTCTACTCGAGTACGTCCCACCTGAAGATCCAATTGCAAAGTTACTCGCGCACAATGACGCTGAAACCATCAACGGTCAATCACACTTCTATGAAGTGTTCACGGAGTTGCTCAAGAGCGAGGGTCATATCGTGAGAGGATTGTTACAGCTGCGATTTGACAAGACCGAGAAGGTTGGCGATGGCACGCAGGTGGAGACGCGTCCGACGGGCTTTCTGAAGCAACGGTTGCTCGAAGCAACGGTTGCTCGAAGCAACCGACATCTCGAGCCAAGAATTTCAACGAATTGAGCGGTTGCTTCAGAAGCGGACGCATCAGGACGGTGATGTTGCAAAGATGGACAGGTTCAAACTTCTCCGCTTCTACACGATCCGTCGCCTTAGCGAGGAGTTCCTTGACGTGTATGGTGCAAAGCCCCTAGAGTCTCTCACATTTCTGCTGCAAGTGATTGATCGTTTCCATCAGTGGGACATCACGGATATAGGAAGGGCTAGCTATCGACCAGTCGAGGTCCACATCACAAGAGAGATACTCTCCACGCTTGGTCTGGCACATCCGCTCGACCATGAGCACATCTCAGAACCTCTCGAGACATTGGCACCGAAGCTCCTGGTTACGAAGTATTTCAAAGAGTACGACAGTTGTGTACATCTGTTCGATACTCGAGCTAAGCGCACATTGGTCGACGTCAGGGACCGGAAAGCGGTAACGCACGCTTTGAACCACATCTTCAAGAAGATGGGGCTTCGAATTTCGCTCTCCCAGGCGGGCCGGGAAACGTCGGTGGATCCGGTTACCGAGAAGCGGGCGCGCATTTACGAGGGGTGGCAAGTAGAGTACGATCCGCGAGGCATGCTCGGAGTCAAGCACATGGCTCAGTTGCTAAAGCTGCAGGTGATGGCAGCTCCAGGGTTGGCAACCAGGTTAGACCCTAAGATGAGAGATTTTGTAGGGAGGGTCCCATTGAAGTTCAAGGAAC